TCTCTAAAGGCCTGGAATCCCCCAGAGTTTCTCGTTATCGGTCCAGACGGAAGTAAGAGGTGACACAATCTCAATGAAATAAAGAACGAATGAATAGTGAACAAATGACGACAACTCAAAAGGAAAGAAAACACGAACTGCTCCAACGATCCCGCAGTTCCTTGAGATTTTTGCGTACCCGAGTTATTCCTGCGATGACGCGATTTCTCACGCGTTCTCGTCCAGTTGACGACCTCACAGTGATTTTGCCTCATTTGATAGATTAGCCGAAGAAATCAACAATAAAGTCGAATATTCTTCGAATATTACCGAGATATTTCGTAATGCCGTAATACAGCAATAATACCGCAATACAGCAACAATAATACCACTGATTTTCCCAACTTTCACCTCAGCCTTTCGCACTTTTTCACAAAATCCGTTGCTACAATAACTACCCAATTGGTAACCTTAAACTTGGGTAATTAAATCACATAAATGCGATTTTCATGTAATTAGACATATACTCGAACGAAAGGAACAAATTAAACAAATCTAAAAAACAAATTCAATCAAACGAAATCAAAGGACACTGGAAACATAACGAATATTATGAAGCACTGGCCACATAAGATTAAATGGGTTTGATACAAGACGCATACCTTCTTATATATCAATCAAATTGGAGCTATGATATCATGCGAATGTTCATTACAACATATTATAACATAGGTGCTTTTAGATAAAGGACATAAAGACTTACATAAAATGTAATCTATTGAAGGAATATGATAAGGACAGCAAACGACTAAGGCACCGGATAACAAAAAATAGATTTTACAAAAAATGTGGACATTACACTTATCTTCTCGCGATCCCAGTCGCGACACTCCCGACCGAACGCGATGCGATGGAAGGATTCCCGTGTTTACCCAGTTTTATGGGAGTATAGTGACGAGGTTCTGTAGCGCATTTACCAAATTCACCGCGTTCTTCAGAGGGTTTGTCTATCATCAATATCACTATGAACCACCGTTTGCTATTCTAGAGGGTATAGTTGATTTATTGATCTTTCCAAATTCCCGCTCTTTAATGTTCTCAATGATGCACTCCTTGTATGATTATCCTCACTTGATTTTTATGATTTTATAATTCCCATCTTCCAGTGGCCTCTAGGAATATTTTCTTCTGCTATGATCACAACCTCCCCTATCTCCGGTTCTCTCACCGTGACTATCCTCGGTCTTGGATGCTCCATTTTTTGATGTTCTTTCAAACTCAACGAATATTCCTTCTTCCAAACATCCCAAAACTTATGGATTATTTTTGGACCTTTTTTATACTGTTCATTGAAAATTTCAACTTCGTTCTGTGGTCGATATTCACTATCGTCAACGTCACCATACTCACTACACGAAATTTGAATATCAATATGAGGACTTATGAAATCTATTAGTCGAATTACCACCCCGTCCTCCTCACCTTCTTGGACATACGTTAATGGATGACTGTTTATCACGACCTCGATTTCACACAAGAGCGTCTGCAATTCATCCTCTAACAACACTCGTTTACCAACGGTTTTTCTCATTGCTTTGTTCACTAACCCGACCATTCGTTCGTAAGCACCAGCTTTCCAAGGTTAATGACTAGTGATGAATTCCCACCGCAATCTATTTTCACTCCCATACTCTTTCATTCGTTCCTCAATCTCCCTTTTTTGGCATTCGTCCACTATGACTTTTCCAGCAGCGGTAAACGTGCTTGCATTATCTGACAAAATTATTTCGGGAATACCCCTACGGGCAACAAATCTTCGAAATGCTTCGATGAAATCCGAAGCACTCAAGCTACTCACGGTGTCCAAATGTATTGCTCTGGTAACCAAACAAGTCCAGAGGCAACCCCAGATTTTAACCGTGGCATGCATTCTTTTTACTTGTATGGGTCCGAAATAATCCAGTCCGCTTCGTTGAAACGGAAAGGCTCGAGTAGCTCTGTACAGTGGCAATGGTGGCGTAGCTGGCAATACGAATGGACCTCCTTTCCATCTTTTAAACACTCTACATTCACGTAACACTCTCTTTACTGTTGTCCCACCTTTTGGAATCCAAAACTTCTTACGTTCTTTGTAGAGCGTTTGTTGGAGGTCTTGATGGAGATTCTCCCTGTGTACATCCTCTACTAGCAGCTCAGTAATACGATGCTTACTTGGAATCAACCATGAAATCTCCGTTTGATCTGAACATTCCTCATTCCTAACCCTCCCTGTAGCTACCAGTAAATCATCTTTGACGTTTATTCCCAACTGACTTTTAAGCTGATGA